CCCGCGGTCGACGACCGTCGCCCCCAGCGCCGCCGCGCGCGCGTCGAGCGCCTCGGACCGCGTCGCGCTGTAGAGCAGGTCGCGCCGCGCGCCCGGCCGCCGCGCGGCGCCGCGGACCGCAGCGTCGACGCGGCCGACGTCCGGGCCGAGCGACGGCGACAGGAGCCGGTCCGCCTCGTCGAGCACGAGGAACGCCGCGCAGCGCAGCGTCGCCGCGACCTCGCACCGCTCGCAGACCTCCGCGAGGCGGCCGGGCGTGCCGACGACGACGTGCGGCCGGCCGCTCGCGAGCTCGAGGCCCTGCGCGACGCCGTCGACGCCGCCCGTGACGCAGGCGACGCGGACGCGCTGCCGCGCGCCGAAGACGGCGAACTGGTCCGCGAGCTGCGCGGCGAGCTCGCGCGACGGCGCGACGCACAGCGCGAAGACGCCGAAGGGGTCGCGGAAGAGCGCGTCGAGGATCGGGAGCGCGAACGCGGCCGTCTTCCCGCTGCCCGTCTCCGCGACGCCGAGCACGTGGTCGCCGCGGAGCGTCGCGGGGATCGCGCCGCGCTGGATCGCCGACGGCACCGCCATGCCCAGGGCTCCGCAGGACGCCACGACCCAGGGCGCCAGGCCCAGGTCCGCGAAGTCGACGGCGCCGCCGCCGCAGCCGCCGCCCGCCGCCGAAGCGCCGCCCGCCGCCGCCGCCGACCCACCGCCGACGTCGCGCGCGCCGCCGCGCCGGCGCTTCTTCTTCGCGCCGCCGAAGAGGTCCATGCTCGCAACTATCGCCGCGAACTCTCAGAGCTCTAGAGGCTAATTAATTACGCCTGGCGGCGGGAAAGGAGAAAAAAACCGACCGCCGCAGGCGGGAGGAAAGGGGAAAAGGGTGGTTTTGTAGGCCTCTATCGGCCCTTGTGCCCGGAGTGAGGCCGTCGAGGGGGCTGCCGGGCGTCCGGCCGGTCACCCGCGCGAAGCGCCGGCCCAGGCTGTGGCTGAAGGAGGCACCGCGGCGTGCCGCGGCTGCCGCGCTTGCGCTGGCGGGCCGGGAG